ATGGCAAAATTTCTCTAAACTTAATTTGTTCACGGACGCCGCGGGTGGCATCGGTTTTGGTGCAATTTTTGGCACGGAATTCTGCCACGGTTTCTGGCCCGATCACTGGCGCCACCGTAACATTGCCATTTTGGAATTCTACCCCATTGTACTGAGTCTGTATTTATGGGGTCATAAGATGGCGAATCATAGCATTTTATTTTTTACTGATAATGAAGCACTCGTTCATGTCATTAATAAGCAATCATGCAAGGACAAGGCATTGATGTTTTTTGTTCGCAAGCTTGTTCTTGTTTGTTTAAACCACAATATTTTATTTAAAGCCAAACACATTCCTGGGACGTACAATCGCCTGGCTGATCTTTTGTCTCGATTTCAGGTTCAAACCTTCAAACGCGAAGCACCAGCCTCGATGAATTCCTGTGCAACGGACATTCCGCGGCATCTGTTGCCAGCGAATTGGGAAATATCGTTTCCCACTTGACACAATCGAGCCTCCAGCCATCCTCAATTCCGACTTACCGACGCGCTTGGAAACTTTTTGACCAATTTCATTCTCATGTGTTTCAAACATTTTCATATAAATTACCAATTTCGCCTCCTACATTAGCACTTTTTATCGCCTACATGTTTGACCGGCGCTACGCCCCCTCTACTGTCAACACCTACGTCTCGGCTCTCGGCTATTCCCACAAATTAATGGGATTGATGGATCCCACTAAAATATTTTACATTGTGCAAATGTTGAAAGGCTATGGCAAACAGGGTTTTCGTTTGGACGCTAGGTTGCCTATTACGCTAACGATTTTAAATCGATTAGTAATGGCTGTGCCACACTGTGTCGCTACGTACTACGACCAGTGCCAATTTCGTGCGATGTGTGCTCTAGCATTCTTCGCATTTTTGCGCGTGGGTGAGATCACCGCAACATCACAGCCGGGCAATTGCCCTATACAGTTAAACCAGCTCACCAAACTCTCAAGAGATGGTGAAGTGATTGGTTACAAATTACTATTTGCTGATTACAAGCATAACTACAATCAGCGACCATTTACTATGGTCATCAACCGGCAAACAAGCGCTTGCCCTGTACAATTATTATCAACATATTTAAATCATCGTGGCTGTAGTCCGGGTCCAGTATTTATGACAGTGGAGGGCGTCGCGGTGCCGAGAAAAGTTTTTACCGCTAACCTTGTTGCTTGCCTCAAATACTGTGACCCAAGTCCGTCGCATTACAAATCACATTCGTTTCGAATCGGTGCAGCATCTTTCGCTGCTGAGAATGGTTTGTCCGATGCACAGATTCGTCTTCTAGGTCGGTGGAAAACGAATGCATTTCAAAAGTATATTCGAGTTTCATCTCTTTCAACGACTGCTTCATTATCTGAGTAACACAATCCTTCCAAACCGGGCGACAATGTCGCGGGGTGTTGTCGCTTGGTCCGTTGCATAGTATATTTGGTGGTCCAGAGGGCCTGTCTAGCAGGGGCGGACATCTCTTCTTGATCACCAGGTATATTAATGTTCATTAGTAATTATTCACTTAAATTAAACTGTTATTTCTGACTATTTTATTCCTTTCTGTGTGTGAACAACAGTTAGCAGGGGCGACTGTTAAATGTTTAGTGGTTGTGTTAACAACAGTCAGCAGGGGCGACTGTTAGATGTTTAGTATTGAAGGGCTCTATTTACAACATTCTGCTATTACTCATAATGGTTTCGCAGAGGCGACTGCTTTCGATCGGCCTACACTACAGTTAACAGGGGTTACTGCGGTGTATTTTGGCTCGCTATAAAACATTATAATAATTAAATGCTGTTTGCTAGTGGTGTTGCGTTTTCCTCGGGTGGGGAGACTCCGCGATTTACGTTCGACTGACTTCAATGGCGTAGTCTTTGGCGTGTAGTCCTGCCACCTTTACTGGCAATGAACATTAACAAGTTATTAACTGAAATTATCAATTTTAATGATTTTATGATATTTCTAATTAAATGACGAGATTTTAAATAAAGCGGCTGTGAATCAATTTCACAGCCAAATTATCCCAAGTCGGGTGTTTTGTTTTGCCAGTAAACTGAGCTCGTTAAACGCAACACCTCGTGAAAAGCAGGAAGGCAAAGACATAAATAAAAATATTTCCTACGGAAATATGGTTTTTTATGTCAAGCCTGAATTATAGTGATAAGATAAAAGTAGGAAATAGTTAGAGTGGATTGTGGCAGATTAAGGTGGGACTTGGCGGAGAAGGAAATTCCGGTGCTTTTACCTACGTAAGAAACATTAAGTCAAGGCCAAATTTTAGCTACTAAAAGCAAAGCAAAGTTATTCACTTCTCAATTCAACCTTTCTCGTGATCGAGTGAAGACATACGAATTTTCTTCCCACCTCCCCCCGCTGGCCTGCCGCTTTGTATTTTAGTTTGTTGTCTTTTCTTGTACATATCATTATTATACCTTTTTTGCCTAATTGGCGTGTAGTCCTGCCACCTTTACTGGCAATGAACATTAACAGACTCAAGTTATTAACTGAAATTATCAATTTTAATGATTTTATGATATTTCTAATTAAATGACGAGATTTTAAATAAAGCGGCTGTGAATCAATTTCACAGCCAAATTATCCCAAGTCGGGTGTTTTGTTTTGCCAGTAAACTGAGCTCGTTAAACGCAACACCTCGTGAAAAGCAGGAAGGCAAAGACATAAATAACCTTTTGGACGTGGGGCCAAATGCCGTCAAAACATTACACAAACCAAAACAATCACATTTACTCACCCTTGGCCAAACATTCTGAATTTTATTTTGAGAAATACTTTTTGTATTCAAGCGCTTTCATGTAGAAAGTTTCATTTGAATACGGCAAGTAGAAATATTTATTTTGAATTTTTCAAAATATTGGGGTTTACTCGAACGCGCGTGCCACGCGCTATATTTGGCCAATTGACTAGAAAGGCGCACGTTGACCAGAATCGATTTCTGGCAATTCCAAGAGTCATAGGATACAAATGTCGCATATATTGTTTTGACGTTTTGAGATTCTATTTTCGGTTGGGATTAGCTCACACACGGACCAAAATGGGAATACCGTGATAAGATGCAAATTTGAAGATACAAGCTCAAAACTAAATAGTGATTTTGATAATTATACGAACAAGACTATTGGAGATAAGGGGCCGAAGTTATGTTCGGTTCTTATATGCTTTTTGTGTACAATCATTACTACTGTTTTGTTTAGGGGTTTCTGATCTTCCTCATTTATGGGATTTGTAATCGAGAGGTGAGGTAGCTGTGCTCATGGGATTAATATGTTATCACTTAACCGCAATACTGTAAAATATTTTCGAACTTTTATGTATAATAATATCGACTTCATCTTGAGGATATTTCTTCTATTTAGCCTTTTAAAGTGTTGGTTTTCTACATTTTTTCCTACTTTCTATTTCTTCAATTTATTTATCTCTATTTCATGTTTCTACTTTTTCTTTGGTTTTTCATTCTCACTTTGTTTGTGCTATTGGTTGTGCAGATATTTTAAAAACATTTTTCTTTCTTGTAGTCATTTCGTAGTAGTTATTTATTACACAATGTATCAAATTCTGGTGAGGGAGGAAAACCGGACGATCCGGTGTCGGCAATACATATAAGGATTGTCTGACTGGAATAGCACTAGATTTCGTATAAGCCTCACATATACAAAGCATTTCTTGTGTAGATTCGAAACGCTGTAAGTCGCCGAATGGGAATGGATGTGAATCCCACAACTTCAACTACATAGAATAGGTAACACAGCTCCTATACTACTTCGGCTTTATCATGTGTATTAGAGTATTGAAATCATGTTGTTCCAGTAAAGTCGGAAGCTACTCTTCAATATGAATATGAATTTAACTTAATTTACTTTACTTTACTTTACTTTACTTTACTTTACTTTACTTTACTTTACTTTACTTTACTTTACTTTACTTTTTCACTCTCAAAGTTCCGGATACGACGTCATCATTTGGGGAATTGCAAATTAGTTTTCTCTTCTTTTCGGCACCTAAAATTCCACAAAGGAAATCATATCCGGCAGCTTCGAGAGCCAATGTTTTTTTTACCATAAAGTACATTACATTTCTTCTTAGAATAATCCAAATATTTTGTAGGCTAAAAATCATTTTTGAGGTAGTATAGCAATTTAGGTGGTTTTTTGTAGATGGAAATTTTGAGAGAAAATTATGTACATTTTTAGAGCAGTGAAATTGCAGCCATAAGCCTTGTTATACAAGAATTAGTGGTTAATTAATGCTCGGCAAATTGACTCTGTAACTCAGTTGCATGTCGGAGCGCAGCACCTGCATTCGTGAATCGCTGAACAGCAGGTTCACAGCTACTTCAGGTCAGGTCTAAAAATGTGCATAATTTTCACTTCAAAGTTCCATCTACAAAAAAACCTTCAACAATCAGTTCTATATCGAATCTATTAATTTTAATAAAAATCTGTTTATACATAATCAGGGTTCCCATTGGAGTTACCACCATTTGATCAATCTATAACGATCGAATATATTCAAGATGGCTATTAATCTCGCATATAGGATTAGTTTGTTTGTCTACAAGCGTACATACAACCGTTTTTAACATAAATCTTTTTTTTTCATAAAAGTTTGAACAATTAATATGGTAACTGTTTTACTAAAAGACGTATTTAATACTGTTCTTATAGGCAATGGAATCCGACATTAGCTGATAAGTATTTTCTGTGCTGTTCTTGAAATTGCACCCCTATAAAATTAACGAAGAATAATGGAATGTCAAACATTTAAATGCCATAAAACTATAGATATTCAATTATTCTAATTTTAATTTCATTGTAAATAAATTCAATTTAATATAAACATAACTATAATATTTAAAGTCTGAAAATGAGAATTTCGATTAAATTTCAAAATCCTTTCAGTTTTATCCATGAAGCAGACTGCGAGAACTTGAAATAGGTTTTCAAATGATTTATTATATTTAATCTTCATTACCAAAATAAAGCGAACGATTTATTTGCAAATCCAACCACCTATAAATCAGTTATAAACTTTAAAAATTGTTGAACTCGTATAGATAGGCCAACATTGTTCTGGTTGTCGTATAATCACACACTGTATGGCTGTAAATATGTTGAGTTACAATTAATAACCATGATTTTCTGCATGACATCAGTTGAGGTTTGTAGGATGTCGTTACAGTTCCATTCAATTTAACGTACAATAATTGTAAAGATTTTAATAATAATTTTACTGAATTGCTGTAAATAAATTAAACTTTTAAACAACGTAAATTAAAGTTAGAATCAAGCAGAATATGTCAAATGGCGGCAAGTATGAATTAAACACACGTTGGGCTCCGATGGTGATGATGATTCATGTTTTTATTATATGGACAATGGTGGTTTACTGGAAACTAAAACACTCGTAGAACTCATACGTCACTACATCTGGGACCAGGTGCGCGTATTTTCCGTATTTCACCCCTGCTAGTGAAATACGAAGTTCGAAAATTTCCCGCCATTTTCATTGTTGTTGTTTTGAAAATACAAATGGTCTTTGGTTTGTATTTAAAACGAAATTAACGTTGGAAATAAAACGAAAACATTTACAAGACATCAAGACATCTTGTTGTTGCCACTCGAACATAAACTGATCCATATCTCTTTGCAACCGTCTTATATCCTCTATATATGTCACGCTTCTAGACAACGCCTTTGGCCGTGATGGTGGTTACTCTAACGAAATTGCATGTTTAACTAGCATGTTCTGCTAAAGCTTATTTCCCCTTAATTTTTGTGTGTGTCTTGATGTTGCGTACTCAGGTGAGTATAATGTTTTTTATGTTACTCTGAGTGTATTTCTACATCGGGCAGACTGAAAAGTCAGCCTGACTACGATGGGAATCGATTAACCCGCGACCTTTGGGATTCTAGTTCAATTTTCAGACTGGATGCCCGGTGTCGATATACACTCAGAGTAACATCAAAAAATATTATTTCCCCTTGTTTAAAATTGTTCTCTAGCAAGTGGCAACACGTGCAATGATTTACTCGCTTGCATGGTAAAAACTAGTGCAAAGCCAGAGTTCTACAAATCCTGGCTAAATTAATGATTTCTTGACAATATTTACCACTCTTAAAGGCACAATTGTTTGATTGATGGTTTTTAAGGTGCATTTCAGCCTTTTTAATTGGAAAAACTGACTAGGAAAATCAATTATGCATAATTCAAGATTAGTACGTTCAATGGTTCAACCTCGTTCCCAGGGCTTTTCCCTTTTTGTCACTGGGAAGGCGGGAAGGGAAAAGCCCTGGGAACGAGGTTGTCAATGGTTTTAACAAATAAATAAAAAAACTTAAAATGTTAAAAACATTAAGTTTGCTGATCTTGAGTTATGCTTAATTGATTTTCCTGGTTAGTTTTTTCAGTTAAAAGGGCTAAAATGCGCCTTAGAAACCATCATTGAAAAGAATACAAAGAGAAAGATTGAGTCTGATTCACACTATCAATGTAATTTGTTAACGAAGTTTCTCATCCTAGCGGATGCGATTGACTCAGATGAAATGAATATAACCGGAACGGTACCTTTAGATAAATTGCCTATCTTTTTCTTGAAGCCAAATTTGACAAGACCCGCGTGTTTATGGCTTTATGCCTCGGGATTCTCTTCAGTACGAGGCCAGCTCAGGGATCGATCGAGCATACCGTTCTAGTAGGAGGTTTTACCTGAATAATTGCATTGATAGGAAGTTTTCAGCGCTGTTAAAACGTTTTATGCCGGTTTACAAGAACACATGTCCAAGTTGACGGATTGATTGTGCTTCTCGTACTGCCTCCTCCGCAGGCCCTCGTTGCGTCATGGGAAGGTCACGATTTCGAGAGGGCTTGCGGAATCTTGTAAAAAAATGGCGCTGGCGTCACGTCAGCAAGTAAATTTCTACATAATCTTGGATATAAACAGATATAAAAAAGCGGCGTGAAACTTATAAATTAAACTGGCGACTCTTAGGACGTGGAAGGAAGCATTTTTTAACGATTAGGTTTGCTGTCTACACCAATGTTGCACAAATAAAACTGCCTTCTTTAACGAAGCAGGTTCAAAACAACATTTATTCATTTTACAAGATTCCGCAGGCCCTCGCCAGATCGTGACCTTCCCATGACGCAACGAGGGCCTGCGGAGGAGGCAGCTTCTCGTATGCGTAAAAAGACTGGGACTGACCTTCACGTTTGGCTTCAAATTTGTGGTTGGAGGCAGCGTTCCAGTTCTATTCATTTCAATGGGAAGTATTTACTTTCGAAATGCCATTCCATACTTTAGTGTGCGAGTTTACTCATTCCTATCCCTCTGGAAGAGAAATTCACCGATAAAATCTGTAGTAGCTCAATGTTAGAGCATTTTCAGTGGAATAGCGAACCAAAAGTCTCCCATTAAGCCGATTCCCATCGCAGCCAAGAAAAAATTTACCTTGCCCGGCGTGGACACATTCAAAGAGCGTCATAAATAACAGGGCGGATAAGTGAAAGTATTGTGCATTTTGTGAAGAAAGCACCATATTGACAGGATGTTTATATAGACTTTGACACAAGTGTGAATATCAGATATGCATGGTGGCATCTGTGAAATTAACGCTAGTATCCAATGTAACTGAATTTTGTATTTCTGACATTTTATTATAAATCTCTATCACTGTTCGAAATCTTAAAATTCAAAAGTACTTCACCAAAAAAAAGTAGACAAAAAATAGAACATTAAAGCAGTTTTTTGCTTTTCCAAATCTTTCCTGACCTGTATCCTATGTTAAAAAAGGCGATTTGAAGCTAGTGCCAGTATTTGCACCTACTGTATTTTTTTATCTATTTTGTGCGATTTCGAAATTGATTAACTTAAAAACGACGTGACAAATCGAAAACTACTGCTTTAATTTTCTGTAGACAGTTTTTTGTGTACGTTTCAACCATACAACTTATTTTTTCTGTGAGGTACCTTGGAATTTTAAAATTTCTATCAGTAATAGAAATTTATAACAGTCAGAAATTCAAAATTTTTACCTATCGTGCAGCGTTAATTTCACAGATGTCTCCATATCTGACATTCATACTTGTGTCAAAGTCCACACGTACTGTCAATATATAGTGCTTTCTTCACCAACTGCACAATTATTAAGAAATTGTGCGCTCATCCGCCCCACGAAAGTAGAGTAGAGTAAAGAAGAGTAGTTTCCATGGGAATAAAATATTTACAAGTGTTGCGATTAAGGAAAACAAAGTATGTGATATTCATATTGGGACAATTCAACCAATTAAGAACCTGCTTTAGTCGATTAATTTTTAATAATGCTGAATTTCAAAAAAGTATAGGGTTTTTGATTAAGCTACTATATCTGTATATTGCTCATAGTTTTATTTATCAGCTTTAGGAAATTATAAACCCTAATAAAGTGTTACATGCATATAAGCCAACTAGTATAACCGAGCATAAATTGTTTATGAATTAACATCCTAATTATGCTGAAGCCATCTGGGATATAAAGAAATAACAGTTGTTCCTATTGGTTAGGCATAAGTTAAAATTGAAGCGTTTGTCTTTCAGTTTATCATGTCACAAAACAGTTTGGCGTCATATGTCTGGGTTGAAGCACATGGCTTATCGTCTGTTTTAAGAGCTAAAACCGTGATGCTCGTGTACGAAAATGTCTTATTTTACTTTCTCGGTGTTGGCTTGTTCTTTGGTTTTGCTTTTCCGCAAGAGGTAAGAATGATCATTCATGACATTGTTAATTCCCTTATCACATATGATTCCATGTTATCTTGCAATCTGCATTTTAAATTCATCCTTCATTGCGTACTAATACCCAATTTGAAGTCGAATTGCAATATATTTTGACCTCATGATCTGTTGGACACAAGCGAATTTCGAAGATAAGTTGTTAAACTTAAATAAGTTCCTTAATTAAGCCGCGGTCAAACGAGAATGAGAGTTCTAGGTTAACAAAAAAAGTTTGACGAGTGTTTGAACCACGTTTTAATTTAACTAAGCCTAAGGTACACATGAAACATGATTGTGTTGGGGAAAGCAATAGTAATAACAGCTAACCAAGATCTCGTGACTGCCAACCTTCATGCACACTCATCCTCGTTTGTCCAGGCCTTTCTTTCCAATGAAGTGTTTTTCATATGTGTGTGTTCACGCGGAAACGTGTAAACTTTCTAAATTTCATTTAAAGTGGCTCGATATACCACATTTATCAAACATTAATGTTTTTAAATTAAACTTCCTGTTTTTGAGTTTATGCGGCAGATGTTATGAAGTTCAAATATGTTAATTTTTCTTCTTTCAAATTATCTTCTTTCAAGTTTTGTTAACAAAACAGTTGGTTGCTATGGCAACACACGCGCGCGAAACTCTAAGATATAGTCTATTTCTTCGTTAGAAAAGAAGCACAGTGACCCCCTATTTTTTTCTTCTTCCATTATTTACTTAGAAAAAGGACTAACAATAGGCAAGATATAAAAATTCTGTGATGCCATTTTCTTCAAAGGCGCAAAAATGTCATTTTCGTCAATAACATTATTTTGGTGTTGTATGGAATTTTTTGTTTTCGGTATAATGAAAGATTTTTGTAATAATACACCGGGGAAATTTGAACATAGGTCACTGGACAAAATAATGAAATATAGCGCATTGTTTTTCAAAAATTTAATTCTTATAATATATGGCACCAGCAATCGACATGCAGCACCGCGATACAACACGCGAGATGGCGGGCCCGCATGAGCGACTCGCACTCCAGGTTCTATTGGAAGTATTTTAGCTAGTTCGTATTCACGCGGAAACGAATTCTTAATAATCACGCAGGTTTGTTCATATACCATGTTTTTACGATTCTTGAAAAAGGGATTTTGTGATGATCACTATGTCAAGTCACCTTAAGTATTAACGACCTCGACAAATGCAGATTAAATCATATACGGAAAACTAAATACTGTGTTTTTATTCATTCTTTTTATTATGCAGTTATTTCGTAAGTAACATTCAGGGCTCGAAATAGCGGGCTGTCAATGGCCATATTTTAGAAATGGCAGGCAAAAACAACTTTTGAACTGCCACAGTAAAAAAAAAATGCCATGTGAAATTCTATAGATATATTTCATTTCATTTGCTTACAACAACTCATATATATAGAGGATATTACACGGTGGCGCGAAGATATCACTTTTATCTTCGAGTGCTGAAAAAAAATATTTTACGAGCGAGCGCAGCGAGTCAGTCAAATATTGTTTTTAACACGAGAAGATGAAAGTCATATCTTCAAGCCACCGTATAATGTGTTTATTATATAGTCCCAAGCAAAAAATTGTGAAATTTCACGCTCAAAAGCAAGTTGGAAAAAGTCACGTGATCGATATCTTCACTAAAATATCTCGCTGTGTATTTTTCAATATCTCACTCTCTATTATATAATAAACTAGACTATTTAGTTGACTAAAAACGTTTATATTTGAAATGTAAATCCAAGTTTACTGTAGTAAAATAGACAAGTCTAAAAACAATAAAAATGCTTATCATGAAAACATTGATTTTTACAATGTGTCTCATATATGAGACATCGGCATTTTGGCAGTTCAATGCCAATAAAATGGCAGGCTAACATTTATTTCACTTCATGCCAAAATATTTTAGACTGGAAGGCCATATTTTTTCTCTACTTCGGGCCCTGAGCCATTTGTTAAATGGATTTACCCTTTTACGCACACCTATGAAAAACGCTTAATTAACTGGAATGCAGCTTTATGGCTATGTCTGATGACGGAGAAAATGTGCGATCAATCGGTTCTCGGAATTATCCTAACCCTCCCTGGCAACATGACGTTTGGGAGGAATCCGGAGTACCCGGTGAAAACGCACAACTTTCGGCAGAGCGGTGACTTAAGGCCGAAACACACTGGATTTTTCTATTTTCACTGACCGATAACTTTGATCCTGCAGGTTTAAGTTTTTTAAATATTTAGAAGTGTTATAACATTTTGAGTTATTTTTTAGTTATTTGATCTACACATCCTTTATAATTTCCTTTCGTTGACTGACAGTTTTTGTATTGACTTTCAAAAACTGAAAAATCAAGCCACGTTGTCGAATCGCGTCCGGTATGTCTCGGCCTTTACTCTTCACAGTGACATACGTCCCCAGCACAAATGGGACCCACGATCTCATACGACTGAGATAGCTTAATTGATGGCTATAATTGACGGCTAAGTTATACCGTGCGACGTCCTTATTGTCAAGAACGCACCTTATGAAAGATACGTGATCGATCAATTATGCAAGTGCGATAGCAATATAATGTCCATTTAATTTTTCCACAGGTACCGGTGAAATGCAAATCCAGCGGTTATCAACAACTGGGTGAAGGTATGATAAAAGAGTGATTTAATTGGGCATTAACGCCTTAACTTGCCCTTAACACAGTGACAAACACTGCGCCGGGTGGGGGGTTGAACGATAGAGGAATAATTGTTTGACAAAGTGTAACAATAATTTTTCATCCATGAGAACGTTGGTGGCCTATAAATTAAGGATGAGAGTGCGTGAAAGTTGTTAGTTACCCGCCTTGAGTAGCTGTTTTTAGTACTTTCCCAATGTTTTCATTTACAACAGAAAAACTTAATACATAGCCTATATATACTTTATACTGCATGATCATCATAAAATATTATTAACTTTTCAAGAGTGATGGAAAGGGTTTGATATTTTCCCATGCAGCCCGAACGGTCGAGGTTGGTAAGTCATTGTATGTGTGTTAAAAAAAAACAAGATTTGCCAAGGGTATTGTCACGTCTGGCAGAAAGCAGCAGCACCGACATTCACAAGTGTGGTCTTTGACAGTGTCTAGGCTGTGACAAAATAAGCCCTACCCTCCATTTCCCCACGTCCCTTCATTAGAATTAGTTTATATTAGGTATAGATTTTAATGCAAGGAAATATAAACATAAACATTCTTTATAACGTTAGATGGTAATGTTGTGTATATAACGTACTCCTATGGTAAATTGTATGAAAATTTCTCAAAATGATTCTCTAATGATGGTTCTGTAACTTGATATCTTATTTTACAAGAACATGAAAATGTATTTAGCATCTCATGCACTCGAGTGCATGGCACTCGAATGCCAATATATTTGGCATCTCACTCGATTAAATGAATGTTGAAGGCCTTTGTCGATGGTTGTCGAGTGAGATGGATGCCCACAAATCCTGATATTTACTCATAAATATTATCATGGCATTATACTTTAATATACATGAACTTGCGGTTAGAGCTCGACAACTGGACTCTGTAACTTAGTTGACTAGAGCGCTGCACTGGAATCATATAGGGCCGCAAGTTCGATTGCTGCCAAAGGGCCTGTAATCACAGCTGCATGCTTAGGTCTAAATAAATGTACAATTTACATGCACTCGAAATTTCCATCTACAAAATCCTTCAATTCTAGTTCAGCGGAGTCATGATCTTGATAAAATCCTGATATACTGTATACCGAAATAAACGGTATATACTAAATTTTCATTCTTTTCAATTTTTCATCTCTCCGCAGTGATTTACAATTATTATCGTGATGAATCCCGTTGGGATGAGGCGAAAACCTATTGCTCAAAGCGTGGTGAAACCTTACTGGACTTCACTGACAGCGAAGATTTACAATATGTTAAGAATCTAAACGCATCGCTTCCACGCATCTGGATAGGACTAAAGAAAAATAAGAGTGATCTTAATGAAAATGTTGGAAACGTTGAAGATTTGTTTAAAATTAAACGTTGTGAAATTATAAAAGATGATGGTACGGTTTTATATTATAATGCTTACAGGATACTACCATCAGTTTGTGTTAAAAGACTGCAAGGTAAGAACATCTCGATATCCGTTCAATAAAGTGTAAGAATACGACGTTTAAAAATGTCAAACTGTCATACATCTTAATGGGTGTGTCGAGCCACCATAAGTGGTCAAGCTAGTGAGCGATTCTCATACCCAATTTGGAAGATCTATTGAAAGCACTGAAATATAGCACTGGATAGAGCATCCGCTATACATAAATGAAGCCATTGCTGGCCATGTTGGTGTGACGCTGCCATTTTAAAAGAGCTCGTCACAGGCCGGTTCTCGTTATTGCTGGTGAATAGACCTTATGCATAATGACGTCACAAGGCTTCATGCCCGCGAGAAATGCTGGTCTTAGTAGTCATTGCCCGGGAAAATTTCGATAGTGGCCATTTTGAATTGATTAATTTTCCCGGGCGATGACCACTGAGACCAGCATTCCTCGCGGGCATCAAGCCTTGTGACGTCACTATGCATAAGGTGTATTGCCTAGATAAGCTATATCTTTTAAGCTACTCAGGCAACGACATTTGCGTGATAGTTAAATTATTTAAATACCTAAGAATGCAATAGGTAAATAATTTGACACATTTAAGAAAGCTCTTCTCATTATAAATATTCGTGCTTCACAATTGACTTGTTGAACTCAAAAGGATACTCTATATCCAGTGTTAGGTTTCAGATCAGTGATTGAAAACAATGATCCCGCCTGGGCTCGTGGACAGTAATCGCATCTGGAACGAAGTAAACAAATGGTCTGTTAATAAGCAAGGAAGGACTTTGACATGTTGTTGTTGCACAATATTTGTAACAATAGACGAACAAAATGCAATTCTAATATGTCTCTTTTCGTTATTAGATCAGTGTGATGTTTATTGGCAGAAAAATGACAGGCAATGTTTTCTACCAGTGTACGATAGAATGAGCTGCTTTGGCGCACTTGCTCACTGCAAGAGACTAAATGGCACACTTGATGCTGGCAAATTTGCTGAAGCTTTAATTTTTAACGCGTCTCGGAATATTGCAACCTGGTCGTTTTGGACAGGGAAGCTCAAAGAAATCAATATTGATCCACATGCTAATTGGACTTGGGGGAATGGCAGTCTATTTGAGGAATGGAATGAAAAGAAAATAATAATTACTGATGTTGGTTGTAGTGGCTGTGGTTTTATGAAAAATGGAACGATTTACCTGACTTCAAATTGTTCACAACGAATCTCTTACTTATGTGAAAAAGATCGCGTGCGTAAGTTCTGAAACCGTTTACTATTTTGCGTTTATTTTTTCTTTGAAATGAACGTTGACGTTCCAAATATGAGAACTATGAGGAGAGGAGGGAGAGGGG